ACTACCCGCTAGAATGATTGCCGTAGCAAGTTCAACAGGTGGCAAAGCGGTTTTAATCCACCTACTTACTCAGTCGCTCCAAGTAGAAGAGCAACACTTCAACATGAAGGTTCCTTGTGCAACCATCATCCAGCCTGAGTATGGTCTTAAAGACCAGGTCTGATCAGCCAGGAATTGTGAAACCCTAAACCCTAAACTAAGTCCAAGTGCAATCTGCCCTGGCATGTGGGACCTCGGCTAGCACCTGTGATGAAGCCTTCCTCATATGTACTATAGTCACTATCGTCCAAACTCCTTAAAGGGGATTATGTAGGGGAGTATTCTAGGGGTTATTAAGGGGGATACTAATATTAACTTCCCAGAATTAGGGATATAGAAGCCCAATAATGGATTATGAAAGGGAACAGAGAGGACAATGGAACTAAAAAGGAAACTGGGATGATGTAGGTATATGCGACCATGTAGGTATATGCGAGCTTGCATAAATTGGGCGTCACGGTCTGGGGGTCCCACGAATATATGTTATAGCATTCAGGGGTCTATATTGGGGTCCCCTTTTCTGGGCAAGTACCATAGTATGAGACTGGTGCAAACTCCCAGCTGACTTGGACCGAATGTTCTTGTGTCCAGAAGGCATTGTAGTGCATGGCGGCCAGGGACCCCTATATGCATCCACATCAACAAAGATCGTGAGAATGAATTCTATAGGCTGGCATGGACTTAGCTTCGTATTGCGAAGCTGGAGCCCTAAACCCTAGCTTATGGCCCCCCCTTTGGCGCCTAAACCCCCTAAACCCTAAACCCATATTCCCATGCTAGTGTACTATAGTCGTACCACCCCAGATGCTGCCAAGGCAACTGACGATGGCCAGGTGGTTTGCTGCTTGAAGGACCGGACGGAAGTGTAGAAGCCTAAGTACTGGATGTTATGCCACAAAATCCCGCCGTTTAGGGTTTCAGGTAATTATCACTTACTGTAGGCCGCTGCCTCCAGTGAGGTCGCCGGTCAGGGGACACCTCTACCCATCGACTTGCCCTACCCGAAGCCCTACGGCAAAGCATTACCACTGAAGCCCACGCAAGCAAACACTTCGACGGGCATGGTGTTGCAGAGTCATTTCATTTCTGGCTGTGGAATCCGCACTTATCAAAACATGATCCAGGCCTAAAACCCAAAAACCTAGACTGCCTATTTGCATGGGTTGTTGTTGAGAGAACGGGTAGCTTTTAGGCGGCCCGTGTAATGTGGCGCCTGCACATGTCAGGATTATGGGGATTGTCCTAAATTACTGTCAATACGGGGTCCTATATTTGGGTTCCCATTATAATACGGGGCCCTATATACATTTCCCCCATTTTGGGAACAGTAATTTAGGGAAACTTCCTTATGTTGAATTCCTGTTCAGGTGAGGTCCTCGATTGTGCGAGTATTCAAATCACATAAATCACGCCAGGTCCCTGATTAGTCTGGGTTGCTGTCAAGGCCTTGTAAGCTAAGTTACCATAATATGGGTCTATAGCAGATATTTGGGTTGCCTTATTAGAGCAGCTTAGTTTCTGTTTTTGAACAGCAACGCAGACTTCCTCCTGGAAATCCTGTGGAAAGCCATAGTCATGCCAAGATGGAGACCACTCCTGAAATTCTACCACCCCCATTTGGGATTTAGGGTTTAAGGGTTTAGAGTTTTAAGGGTGTAGGGGTTTAAGGGTTTAGGGTTTAAGGGTTTAGGGTTTGGGGTTTAAAGGTTTAAGGGTTTTGGCTTTTGGATTTAGGGTTTAGGGTTTATTATTGGGCAGGCCCTTGTAGTTTGCTGCTGTACTAATCAGGAACCAACAAGTTATTGCAGAAATTGGCTGGGTTGCTGTTAAGAAATTTCAATTAAGTTACCATAATGGGTATATATAGTAAATAAGAGGGTTTCCCCAATATAGTAACTTAATTTAAGTTCCTTAATCCCTATATTCCCCCCAGTTTCCATTTTATTTTCCATTTTCTTTTCCATTTGATTGAGCACGCTCGAGCTGCGTTCAATTCAACTTTCCATTTGATTCTCCATTATAGGGGGATAATATAGTAACTTAATTTAAGTTCCTTAACAGCAACCCAGTTGGGCGGCATCTTGGGAATTGCCCATGTACCAGCCGTGGGAACGGGCAGCTGAGCAGAAGAGCTTTGACGGCGCATCATTCCTGCTGCCCCGTGTTCACGTTGCGTTCAAATCTCCAAATTGTGATTGTTGGGATTCAGAGCTCTGGAGGTACCACGAAAGTTTACTTAAACCTGCTGCTTTTCAGAAGCTGCTTCAGGATAACTCCCTGGCCATCATACCGAGCATTCACGGATGGGTGAGGCCTGGTCCTCTTTGCTGATGACAATCGCATTGCCTGCAACGGTTGGCATGGGGAGATGGGTTAGGCTGTTGTTTGGGTGTCGTTGGTGTAGCAAGCTACATCATCAGATTCAAGATGACCTCTCTGTGCCTGACCGATATGCATGTCTCAAGCACAGATGCTGCACCTTTCATATACCCGTTCAATGTTGCTCTAAGCTGCCATGGCGGCGAAAAGCACACAGGACCAGGAGGATGGTGTGTGCCAGCCTCTCTTGGGGGACTCCGCAGGGCGGCGAGGCACCTACCTGGTCCTGGTGGTCTACTGTGGTCTGGGGGCGATTCTGATGGCAGACTATGTCTGGGGCTTGGCTGCCCTGGCCGGCACCTCAGGCTCTTTCTTCTAAAATCTTGCTGCAAGAAGACTTAACAGGCTGAGCAGCGGCTGAATGATACGACTATAGGCTAACCAGAGAGGAAAAAGCTTTGATCAGCTGAGGTCAGCAGATACCATACTGCCATGGGTCTCTGGGGCAACATGCAGAAGCCGAGTCTGGATTGGCTGCGCTACACCTACTATGCCAGCATGGGCCTGGCAGCTTGCGGCTACTTCCCTGCACTGGCCCATATGCTGGTTGTTGCACCCTCCTTGCCCAAAAATGTGGTAGATCGGATTTGTACCTTCTTCGCCATCTTCTTCTTCACAGAGCTCTTCTGGCTTCCCATGTGCGTAGCCTATCTGGGCAATCCGAATCCCACGCTCTTCACGTTCATCTGGCTGCAGCTCGCATGCTCTGGATTATCAGCCATAGCATGGGCCTACTCAGTTCTGACAATACCCAGCAGTTCTGTAGAGGTCTCTGGGCGGGCGTTGCAGCTTGCAGGATTTGCTGGAACAGTTTACTTCACCTTTCACTGCGCAGTGATGGATGGGATCCTGTGGCCGCCGATGTTCCATCATGCATGAGACTGGGTGCGCACCCTACGCCACATCATGCCTGGGACAAACTGGCGAAGCTCACGTGATCAAAGTCCGCCTGAGGTCACACAGGGTGCAAGGACCATCCTTAGTTGGACACTTCAGCCCGGGGTAATCAAGCCGTATGACATGCATCTACCACGGGGCAGAGTTATACAGGGATGCGAAAAGTGCAGACTGCATGAGTTCCGTTGCTAGCAGCCTTACACGCCAGACTTGACATGTACCATAGTCTAAACTCCTTAAAGGGGGTTTCTATGGGGGATTATATAGGGGACTATAGGGGTTATTAAGGGGGATACTAGGAGTTTAGACAGTGGCTCACATGTCTGGACGTTGCCTGGCAATTCATGAGCCAATCTATTTCCCCATCACTCCAACCCCCTCATCCCGCCACCAAAGCTCCAAGCCTTGATCTTCTGTGGCTTCATATGAGCTGTAGTCTAAACTCCTTAAAGGGGGATTATATAGGGGACTATATAGGGAACTACTATAGGGGTTATTAAGGGGGATACTAGGAGTTTAGACTATAGCTCATATCCCAAAGCATAATCATGGCAACCATGAGTCACACAAATTCCAGGGCATGGACAGAACGATGACAATGAGAAACATCAGCAGAGTCTTCATGTGACATGGGTATACAGATGATCCAAGAAAGATGCTGGCAGTTAGTGTTAGGACGTACTGCGGCTATCAACCTCATAGCTAGGCTAAGATTCAGCAAACGCAGCAAGACTATGACCTGCGATCATCCACAACCAGGAACACAAAGCACAGCCACAAAAGTGGCAACAGCCCTAACCCAACAGCAATGGCAAGATTATTGCCCTACACCCTAAACACTAAATAGTAGTTTTCCAAAATAGGAGGACCCCAACATAGACCCTTGCATATTAAATCCTTATTATGGGGGACCCCCCGAAAGGTAACCTCAATGTTGGGACTCTAAACCCTAAATAGTAGCTTCCATTTCCTTTTCCATTATCCTTATATAACCACTCTATACCCCAGATTTTGGGAATCCCTCCAAATCACAAATCTCACAGGCCCATGTACATCTACTCGTTGGATCTCCCAGACGCAGAAGACCGTTCAGGTCACCTGTCCGCAAGTGCACTTAGCTGGGCTGCGGTTAAGGATCTTCATTTGGGGGTTTCCCAAAATTAGGAGTACCATTTTGGATTAAGGATTATTGTATATTGGGGTCTGCATTGGGGTCCCCTTATTTTGGGAGATTACCATTTACGGTACCATGATATGGGGATACAGTAAGTAACAGGGTTTCTTTATCGTAGTAGCCTAGGTGAACTCCACGAACAGCAGTCCAGCTCAGGGCTTCGGGTTTGTCCTTCCGCTTGGAAAGTCTCCATGGCCTACTCTGGATACAGCCCTGGTGCTGCAGTGCAAAGGTTGGTAGAGATTTTTCCGAATCTGGGTCTATGAGGGAAAGAAGGAGAAACCCTAACCCTAAACCCTAGACCTTTAAATTAAAACTCTACTAAACCCGTAATGCTTGAATTACTTACTGACCTTCAGGAGGCGGAGGAGGGGGAGCAGCAGCAGCCTTGGTATGTAATGTTTAGGGTTTGCCTAAATCTGCAAAGTAGGTAAACAAAATAGCACAAAAAAGACCATTAAAACAGCACAGAAAGCCATTACTTGACCAACTTTAGGGCTTCAGGTCGGGTTTGGGGTTGATAGCGCCTAGACTCAAGACCCGGTGAAGGAATCTCAGGTTAGGGCCACGGCCCCCCAGCATGGGCCCTTGGGGTTTCAATGCCTGGTATAGATCTCGTATGTATCTCAAGGGCCCCCAGACAGCTGACCTAAACCCAAAACTCCCAAAACCCTAAACTCCCTAAACCCTGAACCCTATAAGGGTCTATATGAAGGGGCCATACTCCCAATGATTATGCAACGAGGTCGCGGCCGGAAGCGGCCGCGCAACGAGCAGGGTCAGGAAGAGAAGAAGCAGACCAGGAAGTCCCGAATTCTGCACAATGTCGGAGGCGGGTTTACGGTTTAATTTTGGTTTAGGGTTCTGGGTTTAACTAGGGTTTAGGGTTTAGGGTTTAGTTTCATTTTTCGAGGGGAGCTCCCAACATCACATTAGGACTTATCATTGAGGTCAGAGGCTTGGGATTGAGCCTCTTTTCGACATGAGGCCATCTCGTCCTTTATGAAAAGTGGTGATGTCTTGGGGTTTGGCTTGTGGATCAAGACACTTGCGAGTCTAAGCGGAGGCAGGGCTGCATGGGTCACAGTCTCAACATGAGCAGACTAGTGGCCATGATAGCTTTAGGAATGACAGTGTGAAGGAAGGAGTAGGAAAGCTTTCGGAATAGTCCTGGCGCTGAGAGAGCATGTCATTCTGCGCGAGGCTGTGAGATCGCTATCTCCTCTGGGCGCCGGGTGCAGTTTCTCTCGTCGGGTGAGTCCCAGCTGGGACCCCACAAGCGTCTTGAGGAATTATCGATCCATGTCTGTTCGGTGTCTAGGCTTTGCATGGTTTGTGGTGTTCAGCGGTTTTGGGCAAGTCTAAAGCAATCCCAGGAAGTATCCATCTACTGGCGTCTCGAAAGGGGGATGTTTGAGTTTGAACATGGTCCTGTTCGGTCCACATTGTTCTTAGTTAGCAGATTGTGGGGAAAGGCAAGTGGTCAGCCCTGCTTTAGGCAGTGCCCTCAAGGAGTGTGATTTCATCAGTTGGGCTTTCCTGAATACAGGCGGTGAATTATGAGGGACATCTTGCAAAACACAGACAAACCACCGCCTAAGCTTTTAATTTGCTGGTAGCGCTGCATCCGGAAGTCATCTGGAAACCTTAAGCCCGAAACCCCTATAAGGATGGTCTTGCTGCCGTGTTCGAGCCAACTTTGTCATCCAGTCTTCTCATTGGAACATCTGCGATCTAATAGTTTCCCACATGGGGAACCCCCCCCCAACACTTGAAAAGTTATTCACTCTGCCTGATCAGTTTCTTGCGCCCCGTGTCCCCTGCCTCTCACTCCCTCACGTGCTTTCGCGGGCTCAACCACTAGAGGGGATTATATATAGGGTACTACTATAGGGGTTTTTCAGGGGGATAATAGGAGTTTAGACCATAGTCTCAATCTCTTCCCCTTCGAGAGCTACTTATTCAGGCCTGGCAAAGCCACGAAGCTCTTCCGTGGTGGATCCGCGAACAGCGACCCCAAGCAGCGATGGGCGTGCAACCCAGTCGGAGCCGAAACTTCACATCACCCTACATGCAGTCCTTTTCCCACACAGACTAGCTGTGATCAAGCAGATTGCATCTCCTCCTGAGTCATTGAAAGCAGTCTGGTGCGAGCAGGAAGCTGAAAAAGCTAGGCATCCTGCGGTAGATGCCCAATCCTACTTGGAGGGTCAGAGGGATTTAGTGAGTGGGTTAATAACTAGGAGTTGCTATATGGAGCTATTAACCTACTTAAGAAGTCGCCCTGACCCTCAAAGTACTCCCCGAAGACGGCTCTACGATGCCCAACCCAATGCAGCCGTGCAACAGGCTTTGCAGCAGATGGTCTTCAGCGCAGATTCATCTTCCCTCCTGACTGCTCATGGGAAGTCACCACCTACATGCAGGGTAGCTCACCCCTTGAGATCAAAAGGGGCAAGAGTGACACAAAACCAGTGAAATGGGACAGGGCAGTTGCTTGGAATTTCAAAGGCGGGTAGTAGACATCAGCGCGGATCGATCTGTTGGGTCCTTTACAATCAGCATCCCATTGCTGTATCATTGTCAGCTTCCCTGGTCACAGTGGGACCTTAGGAGGACAAAAAAGACGTCCAGAATAAGGGGTACCTTTTTGGGGGTCCCTATAAGCAGGACTATTGATTTTGGGGATCTATGTTGGGTTTCCCCTATTTTGCTGAACCCTACACCCTTTTCTGGCAGGACCTGCGAATCACGGCTCTCGCCAGCCCTTGAGAGATTTGACCCTCAGTCAGCCCGGACCACAGACTGCATGGTGGGCATGGCCCTCAATGACTCAAGGGGCTTATATATGGGATTATTTTCTAGGGGAGTATTATAGGGATTATTAAGCGGGATTAAGGGGGATACTAGGAGTTTAGACTATAGCTCATCTCGCAATCATCCATGCAGAACTTCAGCCAAAAGTGACTAGACTCGCAGTGGCGGTGACCCATACAGTTGGTCTTGTAGAATGCACATGCTGCATGACTCGGGGCCTGTGCTCCTGGAACTCCATTCGTTTCCTCATTCAGGCTTTCAGCTGTGTCCTCAAGTGGTGGCGACGGGATGACACTGGTCATTACATTCTGGACAGCGTGTCCAACAACCCCCACTCCGATGACGTGTGCGGCTTAAAAGATGCTTTGTGTGTTTAGGGTTATAGGGCTCAGGTTTAGGGTTCAGGGTTTCTTTGAACTCTTGAACTCTATAAGCCATTGCATAGTTGCAGCGCCCCTTGCCACGATTGCTGCCTAGCGCTTACTCCCACGAAGGTCACAGTGGCCCTCGCAAGTCCCGACCAGCCATGTGCCTTCGCAACTGCGCTTGAAGCCCAGCCGCGACATTGCAGATAGGGACATATAGGGATATTACCCCCAATAATGAAGAATCGAATGGAAAAGAACATGGAAAAATAAATGGAAACTTGGGGTACATAGGGGAATTAAGTTTTCTAGGATGCCTGGCTAGCGATGAAACAATTTTTAGGGATCTGTGCTATACTGGCTCTCATTTGAACATCTCTTCACTGAGCTAGCACAACATGCCCTGATGCTGAATACCTTCTGCGACACCTTCGATGATGAAGCTAACCCTCATGGTGATGGCAGTCGTTGTGCTGGTGGTGCTATTGGTGGAGGCGCGGGTGCCGGTGCTGCTGCTGGTCCGATCAAATGAAAGGAATGCTGCTGTGCTGACAGAGGCAGTGGCAGGGTGGTGGTGGTTGTAACGACGGCCGTGGCGTAAGCGGAGTGGTGGCGCTGGCGGCGGT